ATATTCATATTCTATGACCAGTATCCTTGTTCCCTTCTTACCTTTGGTGCTCTTGGCTGTTAGTTCCTCATAAGTAAGCACATGAGCTCCTGTCCATCTGTCAAAGCCCCTGGACATCTCTGCCATTTCTTCCTTGTTCTTTTTGTGTCTCAGGTCAGGGATTTCTTTTCTTCTTTATTTTAATGATATTGGAGGACACCACCAGTAAATTTGTGTTATCTTCCAAGCTAGTCACATCTTTTAAACTACCTTTGAGAACTCTTAGATCATTCATTGTTGGTATCAAATAAATAAGTATTACCAGTTCATAAAGAGTCTGTCAGCAGAAGCCAAATTGCATACTTCCAGTATAGCACATTCTTTTTATTCTGCAGTTTTTATGTTCTACTGATTTACATATCTTCCCTACTATTTGCTTATTTGATTTCCTCTAAGTAAAATACATTTTTCAGCAAATGTTGCTGTATATGTAAAATAATAGGCTTTCTGCAGTGGTAAAACACCTCATCTCTAAATATAGAAATATTTGCAGATTTGTGATTTAAACCAATTTAGATGCCACTGGTTACAGAGCTGATTGGAAGGCTGTTGGTCTGATGAGTTGCTGGTGTCATAAACACCACACTCTTCCATGTCAGAACAAATCAGGAGAGTTGTTCATCTCTAGATCCAAGCAGGTCTGAAACTCTACAACATCATTAACGACAGTAATAATGATAATAATAACATGATTGGGAGGCTTTTGGTGCTTCTTATAGACTTCCAAAATGAGCTCTGTAACATCTTGATTTACTCCTGGCAAAAAAAAAAAAATATATATATATATATATGAAAAAAATCTCTCATACTGCAGAAGGGTCTGAGAGGTACTTACAGCCAAGCAATGTCTTTCAAAGGCCTAAAAGCCTGTTTTCCCCCTTTCCTTTCCACTTCAGCTAAAAGCTCCTTTGTTAAATATAGAAATTACAAGCGTTGGAAGTGAGCTTCTCAAAAATAGACAGTGCTTTGCTGCATGGCCGTGCTTGTTTCTCCAACACTCAGCACTTGAACACCAAGCCTCATCTCTGCTTCAGCCAATTATAGGAGCGATGCCTCACACCAGTGACAGCGAGGAACACTGGCAGGTGATCTCTTTCCCTTGCCTCAGTTTGCTCAACTTGCAAACAGGGCATGCTGCTACTGCCCTCAGAACATGCCATGAGGGTTGCATGGGCCTGTTGGAGTCCAGCTGAAGAGGTACCATGGAAAATATCTGTTCTTGCTGCTTCTACTCCGTCTTAGGAAAGAGGGCCCTCTACATGTGGGCCTTGACAGGGACTTTCCTTCCTGTTACCCAGTTCAGTTTTGATCACATCCTCATGACCATCAGATTCACAAGAGGGGGCTGCTGCTGCTGCTGCTGCTGCTGCTGCTGCTGCTGCTGCTGCTGCTGCTGCTGCTGAGCCTCCCAGGCCTGGAACAGTGCAAGGCACATAGGATGTGCTCAGTAAGTGTCTAAGTAGGCCTCACTCCACTCACTAGACTAGGGCATCACGCTATACACACCGAAGACCAGTGGCTTACATAGGCTCTGCCTTAATCCCATCTCTGAGAGAGGAGTTTCTCAATTCCAGATGGTTCCCTCATGAGCACTGTAAATTAACAGGTCACTGTTAAATGTTGTCAACTCTTGTTTCAGCTGTGTCTTTCCTCCTAGTCTGCTGGTGCCATAAGGGCAGGAGCTGGTTCCTAGGATCACTCCCGTATCCCCCAAAGCATCTTGCCCTATTATGCATACCAGAGGGACCAAGCTCCTAGGGCTTTATGGGTTGATTAATTGTTCAATCATTTATAGACTTAATTAGCATTGCCTCTCTCCTCCTGCATTCAGAGTCACATTCTTAGGAGCCTGAAGTACAGAGAAAACCTAATTTACTGAGCCAACTTGAAGACTTGGACCCAGAGGCAGTGGAAGCAGTTTCTTTCAATAAAACTACTTCTGACAAAGCTATAATAAGGAGTGAACAATTTAATACAGAACTCAGAGTTATCAAGCCCCATCATCTTCCTCCTCACAACAAAGTTGAGAAGATGGCTTTGACCGAGTCATGGTTCTGGCATCAGCTGTGCGGTGCTTTTTATAAGAAAAATGCCGCCCCGACCCTCCTCTGCCTGAGCAATTTCCCCACAGCTGCAATTTCACCAATTGCTCTCTCTCTCTCTCTCCTCTAAACCGTTTTCCTCACAAACACCTTGACCGATCTCCTTCCCACACAGTCCGCGCTTTTGTTGCTGTTGTTGTTAATCTCTGATATTATCCTGGTGTAATTTGCCTGATGGTGATTCCCCTGTTCCCTTTACATTGCACAGTGACTCAGCACTGCTTCATTTCTATTGTTCAAGATCTCCTCCATTTGTCACCCATCTGAGTATCACTGTCTGTGAGTCATGGCAGATCGTTTATCTCCTTTCAAAGTTGGCAGCGAACTGCCTGGATGTAATCCTCTCCTATTAGATAAGATTTTCTGAAATAGATTTGGAATATATTAGAGTCCCATTTATCTGTTATGGACAGGTTAGCCAAGGGTCTCACAAACCCCAATATCCAAGATAACCAGAATTTATTTAAAGGACAGGTTTATACTTTGAGTATCTATTAAAAAGTTCCTTGCAGTCAGTCATGGTGATACATAACTATAATCCCAGCATGCTGTGAGGCTGAGGCAAGAGGATTTCAAATTGAAGCTGAGGGTGGGCAACTCTGTCTCAAAATAGAAAAAAAATTAAAGGGGCAAGAGATGTAACTCAGTGCAAAGGCCCCAGATTCAATTCCTAGTACCACCATCAGGGAAGAAAAGGTATTTTGCGTAGCTAAGCAAGCAATGTTGGGCACAAGAAATATGTTGGGAGATGTTCACATAGGACAGGGGCCTGTCCTAGGAAAAACAAACCCCATTCTAGTTCTGAATCCCAAGAAGTGTGTAAAACTCACAGCCAACATGGGCATCACTGTGGGTGGGTTTTGAGCTTTAAATGGCAGCAATGGTTGACGGTTGAGAGCTCCCCAAAGTCGCAAGGATGGCAGCGTCCCCACACACCACTCAGCTATAGAGACTCTGCCTGCACTAAATTTCTCAATACCATTTTTTTTAAGTTCTTAGTTCTTTTTTAAAATTCTTTGTAGAAATATGTTTAAAATCCCTAATCTCAGGCCCTCAGCTCCCATCCTTACTGCTCTGTGTGCCTCCTCTTAGCAAGCTCAGAATCCTTCTTAGGGATCACTGCTACTCTGCTGGGAGGCAGAAGTCAGGACACACCCTGACCACAGTAGTCACATTGGAAGAGAGAGTGACACCTATGGGCACAATCCAGGGACTTTGTGGGCTGGTGCTGGTACCAGCTAATGGAAATACTCATTTCGTGGTCCCCGAGTGAGTGAGTGTACATGGACCACAGTTCCCCAAGCTGTCTGTCCCTGGGAGAAAAGCTGGTCATTGGAAGACAGTTGTTGCTATGGGCATCTTCAACTAGAAAGAAGGATGGACAATAAAAGCATTTGTTTTAGAGGGAAGATGGTTCATGCCCCACTATCAGCCCTCATTAATCCCCCTGACCTGTGTAATTACAATTGTCTCCCATAAAAGGCCACTTGTGAGCTCCCCACGGTCTCATTCTGTCTTTTTTTTTTTTGGGCCGTGGGGGGGAAGTGACCACCTACTCTTCTGCCCAGGTGACTGAGTCTTCCCACTGTACCCTGAAGTTCAGTTCACCACCCAGGCCTCAGGAAAGTCCTATAAAGAGATCATGTTCTTAAAGGAGAAAAGTCAGAACCAGGCAAAGGAAGAGATGAATTAGGCAAGGTCTGGGAAGGCCCTATGTCCTCATCTGACCTCTCCACATTCCACAGCCAGAGAAGCTTAAATTAGCTCCAGTGTCCAGGGCTTTTCATGGGCTCTCCACATGGACCAAAACATTGGCAAATGATTGAACTCAATCTCTAGTCTCCAGAAGTCAGGAGCTGGGGCAAACAACCCTCCTTAAAACCCCAGTCCTCTATTCACAAGGCTGCCTTTCCAGCCTGACCATCTAGGGGTCACTTCATAAGCACACACCCAGATGTGGCCGTTCCTCATGATATTTCAAAGCTTAGAATTCCATCCTGGACCAGATAATTTCTTTATTGTCCTAGTTTTATTTGTATATCCAAGGTAATATTTTTTTTAAATGTAGTGAATATTTAGATTTTCTTCAAGTTATTAAGTGAAAAACATGTTGCAATGAATCCCCTCAAAATACTTTTTGCTTTAGACACACTTATTCCATGATCTTGCTACTTTCTGGAACAGTTCTGTACGTCTTTCATGAGTGTCTTTAGTTGTGCTTTAATTTTGCTATTTCAGCATCCTGGATTGATTCAAAATGTTTTCCTTTCATTGTCATTTTAACAATGAGAAAGAGCTGGAAGTTGCAGTGCCAGATCCAGAAAATGAGGTGGATGAGGATACATTCTAAAGGTTTTGTGAGCCTGCCTTCCCATTGGACGTTACTTGATAGCAGAGCAGCATTCACCGTATTTGTTTTATCATATCTCATTAAGACAGTCATGAATGGACTTCCAGAACTGCTTCAGAAAATGGCCAGAATGATGGGAGAAGGGTGCTTGAAGCAAAGGGGAGAATCTTAAGCAAAGGGGTTTAATGGCAATATATCTTTTACTGTAATACATGTTTAAAAACTTAAGCATTCACTATATATTTATCTATGCTTATCCTTGGTTTGTTTTCAGGTATAGCTATTTCATACCCTCATTTGGTTTCAGATAAAACCAGTTCAGACTGACAAAATAAGGAAATGGGGCTTGGGAGAGTTAGGGTAGAGATTTTTATCCTGGTGTTTCCTCTATATTGGTTTTTAATGGAAACCGAATGCAGTTTAGTTATTGGAAAGCTCAAGCACAAATAATAGGCCCGTTCTGATTTAAAACTTAATTCACAGTTAAGGGGGAAAACAAGATAACATTCCAGGCTCAGGTTTATGGTTTACTGTGCTAATGTACAATGCAGTTGCCATCTATATGAGAAATATTGGTTAGTTTATAAATGGTATGCACGGGGTAGAGAGAGTTGTGTTTCATAGGTAGCTAGAAACACATAACAGCTTAATAAATTTCTAAGTATAATGGGAACATTTTTTAAATTAAAATTATCAAGTTTAATTATAGCCTTTTTTTCCTGACCTATGTGGCTCAGCAGCAAACAATGGCTGAGAAAGACCCAAACTAGTTAGTGAATAAAACAGTACCTCCTACCCTCGTATTGCCTGAGAACACTTCTAGAAAGGAAAGTCACCTAGAATCTACCACAGGGCGGGTGCTGCTTTCAGGCCTGTGAGATGGATGGTTACGTACTGGATTTGGGCAGCTCATGACTTCAAGGCTATCGGACCAGGACTGGGACGCACTGCACTGTAGGGTTTGCAGCTGTCACCAGTAAATCCCAGTAACAACTTTTTTATTAGGAATTTCTCTTTTGAATTTATTAGCTTTAATTGCATTTCCATTTTATAGTCCTCCTGAAGTGTTATTTACCATTTCTATGGGATTTTGTTAGTGTTTTTACCACATTTCCTTTTAAGTACCTCCCCCAAACCCCCATTATCCAACAGAAGACAGAATGACAATATAACCTCATGCTGTCAATAAATGAGGCGACTGTTTATTTAGCAATACATATGGGCATTTTTGCTAGCAACTCCAAATGGCTATTGGGAAAACTTTCACACTGGATCATATTTGCCAGGGCTTTTCCTATTTATATGTGCTTTGCTGTATTTCCATTACCAGCTTCTGGTTGTTTAAAAACATTGTTGACCAGCTTTTCTCTATTAAATAATATACTATGTAAAAATGTGCACACATGCTACCCTATTTAAGCTACAATGTCATTAGTTGTTTTGGTGCCACAGGGATTCAGTCGAATTGTTTAGAAAACACTGGCTCCAAGAGCAACTAGAGTTGGGCTTTATTCCTTTTTAGGGAGAGGAGGCATGAGTGGTGTTTGGGTTTGGGTGTATTTCGAGTCTGCCATTCCTAGGCCTCACACCAGGACTCCCTGGCCCAAGTGCCCAGCTAGCCATTCATCTGATGTATGCTTCCTCTCGTCCCTTTCCTTTATAACAGTGAACTGCCCCACCCACCTCAAAACCTCCTGGCCAGCCTGAGCCCCTCTCGCAGCCATGCCGTGGTGCTTTCCTGGGTCCGGCCCTTTGATGGAAACAGCCCTGTTCTTCACTACATTGTGGAGCTGTCTGAAAACAGTGAGTAGCCAAACAAAATTGTTGCTTTCAACACTCATGAGATTTTCACTTGAGTTTCGATGTCTTAAACTTTACTGCTGGTCCAGACCTACTACCACCAGAGAAATGTCAAAATGCTTTAGGAAAAGGAAAGATGATATTTGCTGGGAGGAGGACAGGAAGCATTGTTAGGGGGCTCCTGTTAGTGTCTGAGTATGGGTATGACAGAGTGCTCTTGGGAAAGGTCAATGGTGCCTCTCACCAGGGGCAAGGGTGCCTCTTATCAGGGCTGGCATAACAGTGTGCACCAACAATGGTGTGGTATACTTCTTTGGGATTTTTCTCTGCTGTAGACATGGTGCCAAGTATTGATCAGAATTGTTCATCCTTCCTGCCTCAACATCTGATCAGTTCTTTTTTTGAAACATCTCAATTCCTGTATTACCCAGCAGTTTAGCTTTTTTCCTGCCTGCTGGCCACCCCTGCCTCTGCCCTCTACCAGTCTATGGCATGTTCCATTGCTTGCTGTTGGCTCCTTCTCTCCAAGCATGTCCTTCTAAGAAACCCCATGTCCTTGTGACAGGATGGCCACCTTTTCCTTGGTGACATATGTGCTTCTATTTGACTCAGACCCCTGGCCTAGTAGTCCTGTGACAGGACACTCTTACCCAGTGATCACAAAGACATCACAAGCTTAGGGCTTAAAACTATCTCAGGCTTTTAACTCCGACTGTTCTCCTCACTCCACTGCAGCCATTCCATCCTGTAACCAGAATCCTTCACTTCTTTATTACTCAAACCAGAGTCTGGGACCTTTTCCCCCTGTGCCCCACCCAGCTCCTGGCTGCAGTGAGAGTCCTGGACCTTTGTGTTCTAGAATAGCCAAAATCTGCTCCCTTCATTCGCCAGACCATTACCTCTTACTAGGAAGGATGAGATGGTATTCTTCACTAAAATAACCTTTGAGAAGGTGAATTTTTGCTGAGAACATCATGGTTGTGTGGACTGTGAACATCACAGGTGCAGAATTCTGACAGATATCCACTGGAAAGACAGCCCCATTGGGCATCTGTCTCACTGAGACTGAGAACTGTGCTCCACTTGCCTTTATGTCCCTGATCTATAGCCCTTAGTAGGTACTCAACAAATGAACTAACAAGAATCTGTCTGCTACAGGCCCCTGACAAACTCTAAATTACAGTCCTAGACCATCTTTCAAAAGAGAATGTTCTACCTTCACCATGTTTATATAAAATAAGGTATTACTTCAAAATATCATCCAACCCATTTTCTCAACTGTTTTGCCTAAGTCAGAGGAAGTTTTTAATGTGTAATCATTAACCCACTTACTTATTTATCTACCTTCCCATTCATCCATTAACCTATCTGTCCATCAGTAAGTGTTGATTGGTCACTTGATCAATGTCAGGCATTTTGTTGGATGTTGTTCTTCAGAGATTAGGAGATCAGCCTCAACTGTGAAAGGCAAGGAGATAGATCCATCAGGGTCAATGTCACTAGTTTTTTGTATTTGTGGTATAGGAGACAGACCTCAGGCCCTTGCAAAAGCTGTGAAAGTACTCTATCCCTGAGCTGAACCCCCAGCCCAAGTGTCACTACTCTTTTACTGGTGCTTGCCATACGTTGGACAATCCTGTAGGTGTTCAGTTTGCTTCATTTCACTGATAAAGGAACAAGGTCATCAGTGGTTCTCAGGGGCCTCTGACTCTTCTGACAGGACCCATCTTGGAGCTGAGTGAGATCCCAGCTGTTTTTCCTTCAGATTCTCTAATGCATGAGGCATTACACAGAGATCAGTATGGAAGAGTTGGTTTTATCCTCGCTGTCCCTGATGACAATAGTATAAGACTGTGGCCTTGGCCAAAACAGTACATGCTTGTGCCAATTGGTGTGTTGTGTGCCTTCCTGTCATGGCAAATAGAAGACCTGATCCATCATCTGAACCAATGATCAAATTTTTATTTTGATTAGGAATGAGTGCCCTTAAGAAGCAGCTGAGCATGCTGGCTAATTATAGCCAGCAAGAACAGCTTAGCGGCAAGTCTACTAAAATGGAAATTGCATTTGGCCTACACTCAGCTCTGTGCAAGTGGACGGTGCTAAATAACCTCATCCAGCAGTCCATCCACCCAGCTATTTAGGGAGCCTCTGTGGCCAGCCCCTACTGCTGGCAGAAGGGGATGCTGTTCTCTTGGAAAACATGGATCCTGAAAGGACCAAAGGACCATTGTTTAATGGCTGAGGCAGGTGCGTCGTAACACCTGCCCTCAGAACATTCCCAGCACCACAGAAATAAGGGCCTTTTTGGAACTTTGTAGATCAGAATTCTGGAGCTTCATTTGAGCATTTGTCCATGCTCTTGCCTAGAGTAGAAACCCTTGTGCAGGTGTTTGACCCTGTCTGTGTAAGTGACCCGTGGTTTGCCCTCTGAAGTTGGATGGTTCTTTTGTCCCAGATGCCTTAGTGAACTGCAGGCACAGAGAGGGACTGCAGTACCCTAGCACTCCATTCAAGGTACTTACCGGGTGGGCTGAGAAGTGCAGAGGGTCAGGCCAAGTGGCAGGTGAGGAAATCCTGGGGAATTCATTGAGATATTGTAGGTTTGATAGCCAGGACCCTAGAAGCAGTATGAAAATCCTGTTGAGTTATGACAGCATTTGTCCCACTTTCTAAAGTGTTTGTTATTTATGGTCAAGTATGATCTGTCTTTGATTTTATGATGATCACAAGGGGAAAACACTATTAAAAAATTGTGAAAGATTTTGAAATGAACCTGATATGGCTGGTTCATGCACTCATAGATGGAGAATTTCAAAGATGGTTGGGTATTTCATCCTTTGAAATTCTACCATTCACAGTAGGATGTGATACTTGTGATACCTGGATTAATGCTGGGGTTAAGGAGATGGATAAGGCCAGGCCTACCTTGGAAGTGGTTGGCACCACCCAAAGACTGGTAGCATGGAGAGGATAAAAGGGAGAAGCAGGCTCACTGCTGCTGCTTCTGCTTGCTGCCTCTTGCTTGTCCTGCCATGAGCTCTTTCCCTGCTGCAGTGCCCCTCTGTGAGGCTATCCTGCCTTGGAGGCAACCAGCTATGGACAGAAACCTCCACACACTGTGAGCTGAAATAAACCTTTCCTCTTGTAACTTGTGAGTGTCAAGTATTTTGCCTCAATAGTGATAAAAGTAATCAAGACACAACCCAAAACAGATTATTGGTTATATCATCTAGTATCCATCAGATTATCTGAATTCTTAGGCTCTGTAGTTTTCATTACCTTTAGGCCATCTTACAACTCTGTAAATTGTAGAAAACTTAATAGTAATACAAATGATTCTTGTCCATGGAAATGCAAATAGATGCAGATAAATTTTACCCTATAGAATATAAAAATGTAATTGGATGTTCAGCGGTGTGCAACTATTTGTAAATTCATTTTAGCACCACCAACATATGTGTTTTTTGAAATCTCCTTTGATAAAACTGTAACATCTTACTGGTCCCTCACAAATGACTGAGCTAACTAAAATTGCCGACATATGTTCATTTTATATTTGTATAAGAACAATGATTTTCCTTTTGATACATTTATCCTTGAGCGTGAATACATGTATATCACACATAGAAATGCAAATAGTAATATTCAAATACTCATTTAATCCAGTGGTTGCTACAGGTATCCATGGTAACCCTGATATTTGGAGAAGCCATCTTAGTTCTTAAACTGAGCCTTTGGCAGATTTCCATGGACTGGACTAAGGCATCTCACTACTGGCCTAGAATAATGGTATTTTTTTATACTCTGGTTTCTCTTCAGATCATAGAACAATGGTATTTTATCAGTTAGTAAGAAAAACTAAAATCATTTTTTAGATCTCAGTGCCAGCTGCCACATGTCTTTTTGTAAGAACCTGTAAGTAACAAGCATCATAACATTAAGAATTCAGAATACTTCATCTTATTTAGTTTTCCTGTTATTTTTTATTTATTTGTTTGGTTGGTTGGCTTTTGGTAGATATGAGCATTTGTAGTTGTGATATATATACATATATATATATATACATATACATATATATACAAAAGATATATATATATAAAAGATATATATATATATATATATATATTTCTTAGAGCCAGCCAAATAGCTCAGTGGATTAAAGTACCTGCTTAGGCAGATTCAGGGACTGGGGTTCAATCCCCAGCCTGCCATGCTGGCCCTGCCTCTGGGGCACACTGAGATGACAAATGAGACTGGGTATGGTGGTGCACACCTGTAATCCCAGAGGTTGGGAGGCTGAAAACAGGAGAATCACTAGGAGTCCATTGTGTAGTGAGACCCTATAGGCCCCGTACTAACTACAAAATAATAATAATAATAATAATAATAAATAAAGTTTTGTATGTTCCTTAACAAATATTTTTAAATAGCTCAAAACAAGGAATAAAACTCATCCCTACAGTCTTCACATAGAAAAAACAGCCTTGCGCCATTCTGTACCCCTAGCCACTCCCCACCCTCCTCCTGGCCTTGGCGCATCACCTACCCCATCTTTGTCTCTCCCTTCCAAGTTCTCCTTCTGCTGATTCCTTCTACTTCAGAAGTTAGCTCTAGGTGTCCTCTCAGCCTTGCAGCCTCTCGCCCAGGCTCAGCCTGCCCACTCTTCCCTGCTGAAGCCACACCAGTATTGTCTTGAAGGATAGCTCCCCTGAGCATGACTCAGTCCATATCCCCCAGCCATCCCAACCTGCAGTGTTCTTGATTACTCCCACCACACACAGTGCTTCATTCCTGTGATTTATCTTCTGTCTCTCTTTTCATAATTATTCCTTATTCTCATCTCTTTGACCACATGTACTGAATGGTCTGAAGACTATTTTCTCTCATACCTCTAAAATGTGGAATTCCCAGGTTTTTCTTGCTCAGCACTTGGCCTTCTCATCCCACCTGCTTGTCCCAGTGATCTCATATGTGCCATGGTTTGCCTTTCATGCACCATT